AGAAGTCGTTTGAAGTTTTTGACATATTTGACCCCTGTGACCTTGAAAACAGGTCAAGGTCATTTTCGTTCTCAAACTTTGTAGGGCTCCTACCAACGAAGCTTTCAGCCAAATATCATGACTCTAGGCCTGTCCGTTCTTCAGAAGAAGTTGTTTAAAGGAAAAGTTGACGGACGAGGACGGACGGATGACGGATGCCGTGCCACGGCATAAGCTCACTTGGCACTTCGTGCCAGGTGAGCTAATTATTAGGAGGGGACAGGTGCACACTTTAATTAATGACATCTGAAACATAAATGTAGGGTCTAAAAGGATAGCTAAAAGGTCATTCAGAGGGTATAAGAGTACAGGTATGATAGTCCAGCCACAACACAGAAAGTTCAGATGTATCATGCATATACTAATTTGTGACAAATACCAGACAATCTATACCATACCAGACAATCTATACAAATCCCTGGCAAATACCAGACAATCTATACCAATCCCTGACAAATACCAGACAATCTATACCAATCCCTGACAAATACCAGACAATCTATACCAATCCCTGACAAATACTAGACAATCTATACCAATCCCTGACAAATACCAGACAATCTATACCAATCCCTGACAAATACTAGACGATCTATACCAATCCCGGACAAATACTAGACAATCTATACAAGTAGTCTCTGACAACTACTAGACAATCTATACAAGTAATCTCTGACAACTACTAGACAATCTATACAAGTAATCCCTGACAAATACCAGACAATCTATACCAATCCCTGACAAATACCAGACAATCTATACCAATCCCTGACAAATCCTAGACGATCTATACCAATCCCGGACAAATACTAGACAATCTATACAAGTAGTCTCTGACAACTACTAGACAATCTATACAGGTAATCCCTGACAAATACTAGACAATCTATACCAATCCCTGACAAATACCAGACAATCTATACAGGTAATCCCTGACAAATACAAGACAATCTATATATACAGGTAATCACTGACAAATACTAGACAATCTATACAGGTAATCCCTGACAAATACAAGACAATCTATATATACAGGTAATCCCTGACAAATACTAGACAATCTATACAGGTAATCCCTGACAAATACTAGACAATCTACACAGGTAATCCCTGACAAATACTGGAAAATCTATACAGGTAATCCCTGACAACTACTAGACAATCTATACCAATCCCTGACAAATACCAGACAATCTATACCAATCCCTGACAAATACCAGACAATCTATACCAATCCCTGACAAATACTAGACAAACTATACAATTAATCCCTGACAAATACTAGACAATATATACCAGTAATCCCTGACAAATACAAGACAATCTATACAAGTAATCTCTGACAACTACTAGACAATATATACAGGTAATCTCTGACAAATACAAGACAATCTATACATACAGGTAATCCCTGACAAATACAAGACAATCTATATATACAGGTAATCCCTGACAAATACTGGAAAATCTATACAGGTAATCCCTGACAACTACTAGACAATCTATACCAATCCCTGACAAATACTAGACAAACTATACAAGTAATCCCTGACAAATACAAGACAATCTATACAAGTAATCTCTGACAAAAACTAGACAATCTATACAAGTAATCTCTGACAAAAACTAGACAATCTATACAAGTAATCTCTGACAACTACTAGACAATATATACAGGTAATCTCTAACAAATACTAGACAATATATACCAGTAATCCCTGACAAATACAAGACAATCTATACATACAGGTAATCCCTGACAAATACAAGACAATCTATACATACAGGTAATCCCTGACAAATACTTGACAATCTATACAGGTAATCCCTGACAACTACTGGACAATCTATACAGGTAATCTCTGACAAATACAAGACAATCTATACATACAGGTAATCCCTGACAAATACAAGACAATCTATACAAGTAATCTCTGACAACTACTAGACAATCTATACCAGTAATCCCCGACAAATACTATACAATCTAAACAAGACAATCCCTGACAAATACTAGACAAACTATACAAGTAATCCCTGACAAATACTAGACAATATATACAGTTAATCTCTGACAAATCCTAGACAATATATACAGGTAATCTCTGACAAATACTAGACAATATATACCAGTAATCCCTGACAAATACAAGACAATCTATACAAGGAGAAGAGCCAGAAATAACCTCTAGAGTAAGAGAACTTTACTTGGAATCAAATTTCATCTTTCCGTCCCTTTATTTGTGTATACCTGCGCCTTTTTGAGATTGTCTACTACTAAGGACATGAGTTGAGAGTAGTCTCCCCTGGTGACACGGAATGTGCAGGCTTTTGAGGTGAGAGTTGGTGTAAACTCGTGACATCCGAGTATTCCCTCCTGACACCCTGGAATCACTCCATCTATAAGTCATGATAATAATACATTGTGAAAGAAAAATAAGGGATAAAAAGTTCAAAAAAATCATCATGCATTACGTAACAAAACATTTGAGTTTTAAATTGATGAGTGTGAAAGTTATGTTTCCTTGAAATATCTCTGTGATCTCACCATACAGCCGTGTGTAATTGTGTTTAAGTTATGACTGGTTTAGTTATGTCGTTGACATGTATCTACTTTAGCACCACACCACAGTGTGTACATCCTCGAAATCCAAGGGTGCCTCTCAATAAACATATCTTCTTAGCATTCCTGGGATATGTCATGACAAAGTCAAAGGCTTTTTAGCCACCATCTTGTGGATGATACATGAAGACTAGTCTGATGTCTAAATGATAAACAAAGGGAGTTATGTGGCAGCATAACAGTAAAATTGAAAAGCTTTGAAGATGTGCGCAGTGCCTTAGTAATCTTTATAGGACAGGTATCAGCCTAGTAATTGGTCTGACAGATTTTCATACTGGAAAGTAAGTTGAAACCAATCAAATAGCTTACCGGCCGCGAGCCTTCAAATTTTGTCATGACATATTCCAGGAGTCCTGAGAAGATTTGTGTATCGAGGTTGAAATTCTTGAAATTCAAGGATTGTGTGGTAATGGAACTTGACCAGCAACATTTGTTTTGGATACAATACATTACACAATCAGTAACATGGTAGATTTAAGCTTGAAGGTTTTACTGTCATCTAGTAAGCCATTTATGTATTATAAATGTAATACTTTATGTGGGCGATCATCTTCAGGAAAGATAAAATATAAAAAGATTGAAATAAAAAAAGCACAGCACTTACCACCTGTTGCAGCGGATGCTAGTTTTACTTCGTAACAGGTTTTTCCTTTCTCTGTTGTTTTGAATAGTCTAGTGTTGTATGGACTCAGATCCTGAAGTAGACCAACAGTAGTTCTCAACATCATATTTTACCACAGAGATTTTTTTATATTTTTTATATATTAAATTTTACCAGGTAATTGATAAATTAACAGAATTCTCAATGAGATTGCAAAGGTTATAAAATAAATATTGTTAATATGACTACTGAACAGCTAATTCATGATTGCTATAAAAACTAGCATGCTTCATAGAATCTAGTCAATCACAACACTGCTAGGTGATACTTAACATGTGTTTATAAAACTATTTTGTTTACATCACCATGTCATAAATATTATTGATATACCAGTGTATATACGAATAATCAATATAGCCATTGCTTCCTCGTCAACTTTTTTTCAATTTCATTTTTTTTTATTCATCCTTTTACATGTATACAGTACAAAGTCACAGCAAAACAACTCCATCCATCCCATAATGTCAAGATGCTCTTTTAAAGAGTAATATAGTATTTTTTTTTTTTGGTAGAGTTAAAAATATATTCAGGCATGCTAAGAGATAAGATAAGATAAGATAGATTTTATTTTAAGTCGGTGGGCATTTTAAAAACAAATAACCTAAACTCTATAGAGCTTTTGACCGACATACATGTTACATACAAAGACATTCACACTTGGAGAAGGCTGGATTAATTAATTTTATTATTAATTATTAAGTTATTATTTCATTAAAAGGAAGAAAATTTTGTTTTTCCCTTTTTCTTCTCACACATCAAATCAAGTGCTAGAGTGGTCCCAGGGTTATCGGGTATTGTTAACCATATTGAAATATATCTGACATGAATTGTGAAGCTTACAATGACATGTATACACATTTGATATTTCTATAATCTTTCCTTCTAGTATACTGATCAATGCATGTCAACTTACCTTGGCTGTCAGGAATTCTTGAGCAATCTTTGCATCGTCTAAATCACAGTTGGCAGAAAAATAGGATGTTGTTCCCTGTGAATATAATTTCAAATAGTTTGACTAATAATGACAGCGACCATTTTGTTATAACAATACACTGTATTGTTTATAGTTTAGATAATAAGATCACATTCCGGTTTTTAATGAACAATTGTTTGTGTACTCGGCCTTCTCTCTCACAAAATGAAAATGTACATATAATTCATGTAAGTGAAATTTAATATCTAACCTTCTCTCCAAGTCCCAGCTCTTTCTCTCTCTCTGACAAACCAAACATCCTCTCGCTCACTGAGTCCCATAAGGCCTTCATCCCACTGGCATCTTTTTGGCAAGCAGCACTTTTCATCACCAGAGCTTCAAATTTTTCCTGCATACAAAAATAAATGAGACACAACTTTTCAAAATAACTTCTTGGACTGTTGGATTGCAATTTTTGAAAAAAAACCCACACAAACAAAACAAATAATACTGTGTAAGTAATTTTCAACAGAAATCTAAATTAGCAAATATAATCCCATCAGTGGGGCTCCTTACGATCAACAAGGGAATGTACTAGTATGATACATTAACCTGCTTTTTCTCATCCTTCTCACCAAGTATTATTTAAAGTTGTTGCCTATTCTTCAAAGTAATATATTAAATTTAGACTATTTGAATTTGTTCAGAGCAGAAAGCCTAAAAGGTTTGATCCCCTGAAAGTTTAATCTGTGAAATCAAAGTGCTCCAGAGTAGTACTATTTTATCTTCATAACAGGTGCATAATGTGTATAATGATCTCAGGAAACAAGTCAGATATTGTAACTAGAATTATATACGTTAATAAAACAGTAAGGTCCAAAGATAACTGCAGTTATCTCTAGATCTAACTACAGTTATCTGTAGATCTAGCTCTGACCACAGTTATCTGTAGATCTGACCACAGTTATCTGTAGATCTGACCACAGTTATCTGTAGATCTAGCTCTGACCAGTTATCTGTAGATCTGACCACAGTTACCCTTAGATCTAACCACAGTTACCTCTAGATCTGACCACAGTTACCTCTAGATCTAACCACAGTTACCTCTAGATCTAACCAAAATTACCTCTAGATCTAACAACAGTTACCTCGAGATCGAACCACAGTTACCTCGAGATCGAACCACAGTTACCTCGAGGTCTAACCACAGTTACCTTGAGATCTAACCATAGTTACCACTAGATCTAACCACAATTGCCTCTAGATCTAACCACACTTACCTCTAGATCTAACAACAGTTACCTCGAGATCTGACCACAGTTAACTCTAGATCTAACCACACTTACCTCTAGATCTAACAACAGTTACCTCGAGATCGAACCACAGTTACCTCGAGGTCTAACCACAGTTACCTTGAGATCTAACCATAGTTACCACTAGATCTAACCACAATTACCTCAAGATCTAACCACAGTTACCTCGAGATCTAACCACAATTACCTCAAGATCTAACCACAGTTACCTCTAGATCTAACCACAGTTACCTCTAGATCTAACCAGTTACCTTTAGATCTAACCACATTTACCTCTAGATCTAACCACAGTTATCTGTAGATCTAACCAGAGTTACCTCTTGATCTAACCACAGTTATCTGTAGATCTAACCAGAGTTACCTCTTGATCTAACCACAGTTATCTGTAGATCTAACCACAGTTACCTCTAGATCTAACCACAATTACCTCTAGATCTAGCCAGTTATCTGTAGATCTAACCACAGTTACCTCGAGATCTAACCACAGTTACCTCTAGATCTAACCACAGTTACCTCTAGATCTAACCACAGTTACCTC